GAGAGAGAGAGAGAGAGAGAGAGAGAGAGAGAGAGAGAGAGAGAGAGAGAGAGAGAGAGAGGCGGGCGGGTCAGTGAAGAGAAGGTAAATGTCATTCACATTTTTCCTTTCTGCTGTCACAGATCAAATTCTCCTCTCTGACTGGCTTTAGCTTTTTCTATGCTCTGAAAGGCCATTTAAACTTTTTACCTCATCGATCTGTGCTTGTTTCTGTCTGACTGAAGAATGGGACGTACCTGCCTCTCTGCTTACCTTTCAGGTTTGTGTACATAATGTTTTATTGCTGAATCGGAACGTTTTTGTTCACGTAAGTTGACAGTTTAACTCTTAGGATGTAGATGACACCTTAATGATGCATGACATGAAACTGGGTCATTGACACGTGCTAGAATTGTTAAATTAAGGCAGCAACATAACTTGATAGGAATTCAAGTTAAAGAGAAATCGTGAGTATTTAACAGTTTAGTAAATGAATCCTGTGAGATGTATCTGTGAGGCTATATGTTTGCAAGGTGTGTAGGTGTGTAGGGAGAGCTCAGGTAGGCTGTCGGGTAGGCGGGTGTTGCAGCTCCAGACAGAGTTTTGTTGGCTCTCTGATCGCATCATAAACATGTTGCAAGAGGAGACCTGAGGAAAGACTAGTTTTTAACTGTCTTGAAGTTTATAATGTTTGCATTAGAGAGGGTTTAGCAGACTTCGGAGATGAGTTGTGCTTCAGGGAAAAACGTACAGTCGATCCATTTTGAAAAGACCAGAAAATAAGCTTAGATTAGCATCTGATGATGTGCAGTAAGTAGAAATGGGAATATGGCTAAGGGCTGAGTTTTTTTTGTGGTTTCCCTCACTCCAGAGTGTGTGTGTGTGTGTGTGTGTGTGTGTGTGTGTGTGTGTGTGTGTGATATTGAGATGGTTGCTACTTCATTCCAGCTGCCGTATTTCAGTTGTTGGAGGTAAGCCTCAGACTGCAGTAATGGAAAGAGAGCCGCCAGGCTTCTCCTCTCGACCATGTGGAGGCCATGGGAAGACCCTCTGAAGGTCTGACCCTACCAGCGTTGTGATGGATTTAACTTCCATGGAAAGTTGGAGCATTGAACCCCAGCATGTTAACATGTAGCTGATCTTAGCGGTCGGAGTCGGCAGGTGACGGAGGGGTGTGCCTCAGCTCGGCCTCGTTGTTCTTATTTTGTGTGGAGTTGAGGGTTCAGAGGAATCCAGATGGCCGACGCCTCGCTGTGGTCACAATAGTGGACAGTTGTTTTTGTGTTTACGCGTTTGAGATTTTTGAAATTATAGTCCAAAGCGAGGCAGGCTCCTGAGGCCACATGGGATGAGCGGTTCGTGCGGGGGGACGGTGTTGGTTCCACTCTGTCAGGTCTTCACGGTCGGGGCCAGAGGGAAGCCGCTAATGACAGCATGGTGGCTGGCAGCAGGTTCGCAGCTCTGGTCTGCGTCTCCAGTTCCACTTTATCTTCCCCTTTTTCCCCCCCTCTGCCTCGCTGTCTGTGAGAAATGTGTTCCCTGTGGTTTAGTGGGAGCTGTGAAATGATGGCTGTCTGTCTGACTGCTGGTAGAAGCAGGAGAGGGAGAGGAGGGGCTGGTGAGGAAAGGCCTGTCCTCTCTAATTGTGTTTATGGCTCAAACTAAATTATCTCCCCCTGTGACTCTTTGATTGAGTGCCCTTTGTGTGGGACCTCTGGCATTATTACGCTGTAGTGCCTCCGAGTCTTTTGTGTTGTTGCTGAAGACTGTTCGTGTCCTCCAAACTCATCAGACACTTTAATGACTCATTAAATCAGCATTCCACTAAATTCTCAGTCTGTGAGCAACATTTAGCGGGTTTTTTTATGCCCCAGAACGTGTGCTGCCACTTTTTTCCTCCATATGGGAAAAAGTTGAAGCCATGGAAAAAATAACACGGGAGCACCTTCTATGTAGATGTACACTGCTGTGATGTCACATGTAGTATTTCAATTATCTCACTTTTCTGAAAGATTTCTTTCACAAACGATTTTACCAACAAAACTTCACTCATTTGACTCGTTTTTATTCACTCTTATCTAACTAGATTCAATGATATGGTGTCTTTGTTTTTAACCTGAACAGTGGCATTCCAGAGTCACCTTTCCTGTTTGTCCTGACGTCTCCTCAGCAGTGTCTCATTAAAGTTTCTCTTCAGTGATTGAGCCGCTCCGCCCTGTAATCTGCTCAAGGTGGGGAAGGTCACAGTCGACAGAGCAGAAAGCCTCGAGTCTTTTCTCATCTCTGCCTCTCGCTTGTGTTGGAATTTATTTTGTGTTCGGTTTTTCTCTGATCGCACACTGCATTGATTAAAAGCCTCTTTTTTTCTTTAAAACACACAAAGGTGTGACTTATAAGATCCAATCTGTAGCTGCTGGTGCCAACTGTGCCAGTCTCTTGTGCAGGATAACATAGTTTACACATGGACAACTGATTTTGGCGTGTGATTTCTTTGCTTGCTTGAGAGCTTGTGAATGTGTTTTCAGAAGCTTTTTTGAAGTAATTGTAGGCTGTAGATCTGGTATTATATTTTCAGTATGTAAGGTCACATCCTGTATGTCTTTTCAGGATCCACCCAAACCTTTTGTGGGACTATTCTTAAACCAGATGGCTCTCGTAAAACACCTTTAAGGAGTTGTTGTGCCGGTATATATAGTTAATCATTTCAAATGAGCTACAGAATGACGCATACCACCTGAAGTTCCACACACAAGAGGGTTTTTTTTCCCTTTTAAAGGAAATGTTTGCAAGTCCTCGGAGTGTTGTGGATTACAAATATGTTTGGGAGTGATTTAAAGCGCGTGTGTGTGTGTGTGATCACACGTGCTCGAAGGAGCCTTATTTGTGCAGCTGATTCTCCTGTGGAGTAGTTCAAGTTCAGGCACCAGAGGCCCAACAGTAGTGCCGGTATCTTCATCTTTTCCCCCTCCGTCCTCCCCTCCTACACCTCTCTTGTTTCCTCTCCATATGCCAAAATACTCCTGCTTCTCCTCCGAGATCTCCCCCTGCTGTGACGTTCCTCTATCGGTGCAGGTTAGGGCCAGAGTGCTGCGCAAAGAGCTATATTTTGTGCTGCAGTCAGATTACAGGTAATCTTGAAGGAGTGGGAGCTACCCGAGTCAAGTCGGGCTGTAAAGTAGAGCTATACGTTGGCTGGATATGTTGGCTCTTTCTGCACTGGGGGCGTCTCTCTCTCTCTCTCTCTCTCAGATGTATACAATGGAAAATAAAACAGATCTTTACTTTTCCAGCTGGCCAAACATGTTGCTCTTCGTGGCTGCAGCATTTGACCTCAACCTCCAACAAAAGACTGTTGTGATCACCAGCTGACCTCAAACAGATGATCGTAGGGATGATGTTTACATCAGGTTTTGATCAGAGGAGTGGGTTGGCCGTTTGTCCCCAATAAAAACCTGACGACATTAAAGAGCATGATGCATCTGGAGCTTTATTGAGATGCTCATAGCATGAGTGTGTCTTTGTTCTTGTTTTTTTACAGGAGACAGAGCGGGGGAGTCACAGTGAGCATATCAGATCTCAGATCCTGGAGTTACGCGGCCAGCAGACACAACAAAGCAGAGAGCTGCAGAGAAAAGGTGAGAAACACTCGCTCAGTAACAAACTGCTTGTGACAGACTGCATATCGTCTGCATGCTATGCACAGTTGGGTCCGGTTTAGCCGTGCCACACTTTAGGAATTGTTGAAACACTAAATCTTTTATATGCTGTAAACTTTTACCCAAAGCTCAAGTTTGAGTAAGAACTTATAACTGGAAGCCAACACTGGCCAACTCTGTTGCGTTTACGTGGCTGCATACATCCGTCTTGATGCAATTTCCTCTTCACTGCCTGTTAAAATAGTCAGCTGAAGGAGCCATTCTCCTGAGGTGGCGGTCAGGAGGTCATATTAGTTCAGGCTCCTTCATCTTACTTTATTAACCGTTTGGAGTCACTCACAGCCAGAGGCTTAATGACAATGGCTTCTTAAGTGTGAAGTCATTTCATTAACCACCTTTAATAAAGTAGTATGAATGCAAGCCTTCAGGAGAGGATGAATTGTGCTTTGTTCACTTGAATCCTTGAAACTTTGCAGGCACAGAGCTGACGATGAATAGCTTGTAAAACAATGAAAGTGCGTTACTGGCACGTCATAAATGTTGTTACAAACCCTAAACCTATAGCTTGCCCACTATAAATGCATCAGGACAAACTATAAATTGGACAATGCCCTTCATACAGAATACCACATTTGACATTGATCATCCTTTGCTGAAGATGAAAGTGTTTTTAAGGCCTGGCTGACCTAAACTTGGCCCTGAGGCTGACAGCTATAATAATGTCGTTCTATGTGGCCCGGTCTGCCCTGAACTTGGCTCCCCGTGTCCCTCTCATGGTCCTGGCGTTGGTGGTGGGTTTATGGGAAGCAACGGAGGGAAGCCCAACAGCCACACCTCTGCTAAATAAAGCTGATACCAGAACAGAACTATGGCTTAGTTGACTTGGCGGAGAAACTCCCCACTGTTCCAGATTTATCCCTACCTTACAATTTAAACCAGGGTGAAGCTAGGGTCAACAAAAAAGAGACCACCATAGAAAGTGGACACCGATCAACAAAGACACTGACGTTTATGGTTGGGAAAGGACGGTGTCGCCATAGTGGGACGGTGGTTCTTGAAGAGGCGGTTGTCTTTTCAGCAGAGGGAAAGTGGCGGAAAATAAAAGATTGACTTGGAAAATAATCGGTGGGTTCTTTTTGGTCTTTGAACACAGCACACATACCTCTACCTCTCAGACAAAAGAAAGCTTATATTCACATGCTTTTCCTCAATTACTGTGTGTCCAGTCGTACTGCATTCAAGTGCAGACTGTAACTTGTTTACAAGAAAAGGCTGTGATTAAGGAAAGGAAATGTTACCAGAGACGCTCAGTGGAATGTGTTGCGTGCCTCAAGTTTCCTTCGTTTAACTTCAAGTTTGACACTAACGCCAGTTTTACACACGAACGCTGTGAAGGACTGAATGTGTATTTCCATTATTACCAAGCCACTAGTAATGCATGTATATCAGGTCATTGAGTATACAGAGGTTCCCAGCATAGGGGTCAAGAGCCACCACGGTGGTCACGAGGTAAACCTGAGAGGATTGACGGAATGGAAAAAAGAAGACCACACTCACAATTTCTCAAGTATTTGCGTTTCTCATCGGAAAATCTGGAGGATTTTACTTTGAGACTCTAAAAAGTGATTCAAATGAAGCAATCTGATCCGGAAACATAACGTTGATTGAACTGCTCACAGCTCAGAGACGTATGCAGCCTGTAACAAAGGGTCAAGAGCAGGCATTGCTTCACTTAAAAGGTTCACAAGCCAAAAATAATTACTGGCATATGACCTAAAAATATGGTCAAACAGACTCTCCTTTTCCCAATGGCATTAAATGGTTTCGGCATTCGTTTTTTATTTAGTTTTTTTTACAGCTTGGAGTATATTTATTTTCTTTATATGTTAACATTGTGAAACGCTAATGAAACTGCTTGAACGAGACACTTGATTTTATGTAGTAACGGTATATTTACTATAGAAACCTCTTCTACATGTTACGCCGAGGCAGAGGTGCGATGATGTTCACCCCAGGTCATCAGCAGGTGAGTCGGAGTCAAATAGCCTGTGTTGACCCGCTCACAGCAATGACAAACACAAGCGTTCCTCAGGGCATTGCTTCAGTGCGAGGGAAGGATAAAGAAAAGCCGTAGATTGTCCTTTGTTTGTGCTCTATTTATTGACTGGCAGCAGAGTGCTCAAGCTGCTTTTGTAGCTATTTCAGAGGTAAAAGCAGGCCTCTCATTACCCAGCAGCAGCAGCAGCAGCAGCAGCAGCAGCAGCAGTGGGATTTTCCCGGAAATCACTACACAATGGTCATGACAGGCAAAAACATGGAACAATAACGTGAGTCTGGAGCAGTGCCTTTTGTCTTTTCACTTCAGTTGAACAGTAATTGCGTTTGGGTGCATCTTTAGATATAGACGCTGCTGTCTAGTGGACCACTCAGAGTGTCACATGTGAGAATGGCAGCCATTTATTGTCCTCATTGTGTATCATAATCACGTCTTCTATTCAGAGCGTATTACACAATCATCTTTTTTTGGGAGGTGTTACGCAATAAAGATTTAAATGAAGCTGTGAACGTCCGCCTCAATCCTGTCTTGTTGGTGAGTTGAAGGAGATTTCTGCGGCTGCCGGTCAGACTCTTTGATTTGGTTTGTAAATGACAGGCATGCATACTTGGTGAACCCCATTTGGTTGCAGAGTTGGTGCAAACACAGGTCATACTGAAGTGTTGTTAAACCTTGGTGTGTACATGGGATGTGGGATTCTCATACACTGTTGGTTTTCTCTGTTTTCCTTATCTGCGGTACGTACGTGACCTCAGATATTCCATCGTTAGTCTCTAACACCCCATGGCGCTTCAATCACAGAGGGAGGATGTGGGCAGCGCTGTGTTGTTTGGAGTGTGGTTTCCCGAGGAGAGAAGGGACGGTATAGGAGCTTCGACAGAGGGGAGGGGAAGTACTTGTCCTCGTCTCTATTTCACCCCCACTTCCTCCTCGACTCCTTGTACTTGCTTACCGCCTATGGTTAAACCACATGCTCTCTCTCTTTAGTTGTAACCCCTCCTTTTCCTTTACGCACATCCACCGACACAATCTCAAAAATCTTACTCGGGAACTGAGGCCAGTCTGGAGGAAATGCCTACATCCCCTCATGTCTCCACGTGCCTCCTCTGCGATCCCGAGTGATATTTTCTAGCCGGGCCCCTGTGCCCGCAGAAGTATTTCATTTCCATCACTTCAATCTCAAACTTCACCACCTACTGCTTCCTTTGCTTGCATACAGTAACACCCTCTTCGCTTTGGTTTACGACCGACGTGAGAGAAAGAATAGAAGTAATATGAGAATCTGTTTTTTTTTCTGTTGCAGACTCCAACTCAGGCATGGTGTTGGTTCTTGATCACCTGGTGAAGGACGATGGCCCCGGACCTCTGCTGATCCAGCCTCAGAGAGAGGCTGTGACCACAGAGCCCGACCTGGCCCTGTCTCATCTCCAAAGTTCCGACTCCTGGGCTTCAGACCACGATGTAACCTCTGTGCTTTCCAGGTCCAATCTGGATTCTGTGGCCTCAGAGAAGAGTCTGGACTCAGCCTACAGAGCTCGGCTGGACTCTGGAGCTTCAGACAGGAGCCAGAGTCCCTTGCAGCGTGGTCGCCTAGATTCTGGGGCATCAGAGCAAAGCATCGGCTCCCTGTCATACGTCAGACAGAGACTGGGCTCAGATGTCTCCGACTCCGGGGCTAGACCCCGTTTGGGCTCTGGGGCTTCAGACAGCGTTGGTCTTTTGCCACGGAAACGGACTGACTCAGGGACATCTGAACAGAGTGTGAGTATGTCCTCTGAGGAAAAGGGTCCAATGGAGGAGGTGGAGGAAGCCACAAGTGGTTCAACTTGCAGCACAGATTCGGAAACTGAGAGCGGAAGACAAGGTTCAGCCAGCCCCCATGCTCAGTCCGACCAGGACCGCATCATTGACCAGGAGCAGCCTGATGGGGCTGTTCTATCCAGGAGAGATCCTGCAAATGGCCTGCTCAACGGCAGCGCCAAGGGACAAAACGACTTCCAGAAGCAGAAGGTAGAGTGCACAGTCCTTGCGTCATGAATGGCTGTTGTCTTTGAGTCCTAAATGTACAGAAAGGTGACAAATTAAAGGAAAACTGAATTAAAGAGAGGAGAAACGTAGTAAATGCATCTCCACCACAGTTGTCAAAACACCACATGAGGGGGTACTGTACATTTTGTAAGAATGGTGTTCATCCCTTCTGTAGAGTTAAGGAGACGTGTCTATACTAAGGGGCCTTGTAACTGTTCTCGAAGGTAGACGCTTCATTTCACTTTTTTCTTTAATTTGTCCCCCATTTGTGTAGTTAGGGCCAGCAGCAACGACACCCAGTATGTATCCTAACTGCACCACTAGAGTGAGGTGTTGAGCCACATAGACACATACAGAACCGTCCAAGCTCTCCCTTTCTTTCTTTATATTTCATTATCCCTGACAAGCAACCCTGACACCCCATTCTTCAGTGACACCCAGGTCACATCGGCATCCATAAACACAGCACGCCGAGCTCTTTTTAGGTGCTGTTTAACTTTTGTTACTTGGCTACGCAAACAAACTGTGCACCTGAGTGTCTCTGCTTCACCTCAGCGGCGTGTCCTCCTCACCTGCTGTCAGAGAGGGATAGACAGCGTTACGGACCAGAGGTTCTGTCTCTCCTCAGCCCCTCACAGTACAGAGAGCACACAGACGCACACAGAGCTGCTGTTTCTGCACTGACTGTTGGCTGTTGAGCAACATTTCCCATGTTGGGGGGGCTCAGGTCACCATGACGCCATCGTGTCGCTCCTCTAGATGTGTTTACCCAAGGCTGGCCTTGGACTTCTTTTATTGTTCCCGACAAAAGACGCTGCCGCTCAGTCTCCTGAGAGTAATGTAAACACTCTGGGGCCCATCACGGCCCCGCTGCCAAAAAAAGAACAGAGGCCAACTGCTTCACTCCAAACACAAATGTTACATAATGAAAACACCACCGGTTGATTCTGTATTTAGGAGTGTGTGTGTGTGTGTGTGTGTGTGTGTGTGTGTGTGTGTGTGTGTGGTTTTCATCACAGCCATCTATAGACTCTAGTCCCTCATAAATGTGCATCGCTGCCCTGTTAAACATGGATTCAGTATGGCAGCTCTGTGGTTGTCAATACAGGCACAGTGCATTTTAACCCTTTATCTCCTCTACTTCCTCTCGCTTTTTTGTTTTTTTCCCCTTTATAGATGACAAACAGCGATCTGCCCCTCACTCATGGCAAAGCAAAGGATTTTGGTAAGAAACTAGTCCTCTTAGATCTCAGTCCAACTCGTCGTCCTGAACTGATTAATCAATAGAACATCAATCCACGTGTCAATTTTGATAATCTTTTGAGGCATTTATCAAGGAAACATCCAAACATTCATCCTTTCCAGCTTCTGGAATTTGAGGATTTGCTGCATCTCTCTCTTCTGAATCATTGTTAATTGAATATGTTTGGGGTCAGTACTGTTGATCGGAATAAGACATTTTTAATATTCTTGGCTCTCACCATTTAATTTTTGTAAATTTGAAAATGACTCCACTGATTTATTGATACTGGAAATGATAGGTTGCAATTCGTATATGCTGTTATCACTATAGGCCCAGATTAGTTTGGTTTAGTTTATGGATATTGCATTTAAAAGTGTGTAATAACATCTCACAAGATGGTTCATCGCTTGTCGGACAATGACAGCCATTAGTGTTACCGCATAGAGCCACTCACAGGAGAGTGCTGGTAAGAGGGCATGTTATAAGATACATATCTTTCTACCAGACGGTGCTCTTTGCTTTGTCCACTGTACTATAAACGGTGGTTTTCCTCCTCAACAGCACATCTTTCTTTCTTTTTTCTTTGTTAGGATGACCTCAGTTAATATCTTCTCCTCTAATCATTAATGTTTTTTCCATTGGAGAGTCTGTGCCAAATCATGGGCTTTGCTCACATTATCTGACAGTATTAAGGATCAGAGAATGAAAAAAAAAATCCATGAGTGGAAGAAACATGTCCCGAAAAGTCCAAAAAATAGAAACTGAAAGGCGGTGAAACGGAGGAGGTTAAGTCAAGCAAAATAAAGGGGCAGGAACAAAACCTTGAGAGAGCAGGAAAAGAGGAATGGGATTTATAGAGGGCTTTTGAGGTGGAGTAGGAGATGATGAGAGCAAGAGACTATAAGTGTGTTAAATTCACACTGAATAGTGGCCGGGCTCTAGGCTCTGTGTCGAATTGAATGTTTTTCTGTGATTTCAACTCCCCTCCTGCATTATGTCTTTACAGCATCTGAGAAGAAAGATGTTGTGGAACATTTCAACCGCACCAACTCTGTACGTGATCGCATGCGCAAGTTTGCTGAGCCCAGCCAGAGCCCAAATGTCCCGGCTTTGAAGAAGGCCGCTCTGAGGAACGGGACAACCTCCGGCAGCAGCGGCCAGACGAATCTCTCCAGAGCCACCGAGCTGTTTACACATACAGCAGCATCCCTCGGCACATCTGGAGACAGGCCAGCAAGGCCACGTGTGGACTCCACATCTCGCACCTCTGCCGCATCCCAGAGTCAGGACATACCTCAGCCAAGAGGTGTGGCCAACAAACCTCTGTCTTCAGCTAGCCAATGGCAGAGCTCCATGGGTGGGACGAGGCATCCAGCTGAAAAAGATGTGCATGCCTCCAGTAACTCAAAGGAAGACGAGACCCCAGGGAGAGCAGCTGGACACCAGGTCACCCAGGGAGAGGCAGACCCGGACATGAAGACCTTCCTCACAATCGAGATCAAGGATGGGCGCACCACCCCCTCCTCCACGCCCTCCTCTAGGAGCAACATCGTGCCCATCACCAACATGACCCCACGCATCACCACTAATTCTCTGGGACAGAGAGCAGGTAGGAGCACCAACCTGACAGCGCTCATACTCTAGCTCAGTCACTGCTAAAATAACTCTCTTAACGTGACTCAATATTGTTGTAAGTGTTAATTCAGGATTGGAATGACGTCGAAACACCACCTATGTTTGTTCTACCACTTAATGCACCGTGCTTTCTAGGCAAGAACTTGATTATATTGACCTTGTTAAAGCTTTCTATGGAGTCCGTAGAGCATACAGATTTACAGCTCACTGTGTTTCAGGCAGCGTGAATCTTAAGTTAGCGACTGATCGTCTTTCCTTGCTAATATCAACACTTGCATCACAGTGGAATCCCAGTCAGTGTGGGAGGCGACCGGCACCAACGAATCGGTCACAAGTGGGATGATGACAAGCAAAACCGTGTGGACGAGTGGGGATAGATGTTAGTGCTGAATATGAAACGCCGTGATTGTACTGAAGGGTATTTGTTAAAGAGCGGGCCAGTGTGGAGTGGGTGAGGTCAGTAGTCAACAGAAGCAAGTGCATTCAGACAAAGGAAACAATAATTGGCTTTCTCAGGCCAGACTGAATAGAAATACTGTTACAGTGCAGTTGAGTAAGCTTGCTCGCCTAAACAGTACAGTGTTCTCTTTGTTCCATGCCGTACATGTTGTCTGTCACCCCTTTATCTAAAATTACACTTTATTCCAGTACTTTCTTTTGATGAGAGATGAGAAAATAAAACTCCAAAGTCATCAGTTAACCAGCAGTTTTAAACACTACAAGATCCTCCGTTTGAATGAGGCTGGAGACCGTTATCTCCTTCTTTTGTTTGCTATCTCTCTACTGTCAACTTTCTAAGAAAAGTTGTTCCTGCATTTTAGGCCTTTTTATTCGTGAGTCAACAGTAGAACAGATGACAGGAAATGAGAGAAGAGAGATGGGGAATGGACATGCAACGTATGTCCCCGGGCTGAACGCAAACCAGGGATGTTTGCAGTTCTTGGTCAGCGCCTTAACCTCTAGGCAGCTACTCGGGCGTGGGAATAACTTCACCCTGTTTTCTAAGTAGTGGTGGCTGATGGAAGAAGAAAATATCTAAATATGACTGTGCAGCAGATCAAAACATGGTCGCTCACCTGAAATAGATAAGAAGAAAGTAAGGCATAAAGTTATCATTAACCGAGCTAACTCTGCTTTTTCTAAATTAGTGAATCTCCATGTCACGTCATGCTGACAAATCTACTTGTAACTTTTATGTAGTAAAATATGTAGCATTTTGTAGGATGTTACAGAACTACAGCAAGTGTTCAACAAGGCATATTTAGATGGATGAGTTTCTGTATTGTCAAATATAGGTAATAAGCATATTAAGCAGCTGGACTGTCTCATTAAAACACATTGTTCCTGTACATGTACTTAGCACTCAGTACATACTCGCGGTGTAAACAGTAACAGCAGGGTTTCATGAATTGCATGAAACAAAAACGTGAATAGCTTGAATCTCTCTTTCAGAAGCAGAGCTGCTACAGCCACTATTACTGTCTGTCCAAACAAGACGTCTTAAGTTTCAGCTCTTTGTAGCAACCGGGACCTCCAACCCAAACAGTTTATTTAAGACTCAAGCTGGACCTCTGCGATTACACCTCTTACAACCAACACCCCCGACACATTCTGGCAGCCCCACTGGGCTCCTTCGCGAGGGTCACAAAGTTTTCTTTTTCAGCTCAATTTGCTGTAATGGTTTTGGGCTCCTTTTTTGGGAACCTGCCTGTCTTCCACTCACCAAAGGCAGGCTGTGATCGTGTCTCCGGTTTCTCTCAAAAGTATCCACCTTCTTAAAGTCTTAAATGTACACTGTGCTGCGCTGGTGTGCATCAATCCTGTATTTTATGATATAGCGTGTGTGTGTGGGGGGTTTGACAACGGATCACATACATGTGCGTACTCTTGCAGGCAAAATGGAGAGGGTTGTTTATATTAAAGGTGGCGTCAACTACATTTTCTGGCATGTCTCTCATTAGACATGAGACAGTACTGTTTATGACACTTTGGCAGCTTATGTAACTGATTATTGGCTACCACCAACACAGTGGAGGACCATGCACACATCTCAACTGTACACATGCATATGGGCGCCAAGACCTTTCTCTGCCTTTGTTGCTACTCAACCTGTAGCTGTCGGCTATATGTACCTGAGTTTAGATGTTTTGTGCTTAAAATCCATGTAAATTTGTGTCTTCACCGTGTCTGTTCCAGACTTGACCCTTGGCCTCAGAGCTACTCCATTCAAGATTTCCTCATCCAGCCTCTTCTCCGGATCCTCCATCAAGGTACAGTCCGCCTTTGCAATTTATTTTCTGGGAAAGGATCACAACATTGAGGCTCCGCAGAATGTGGAGACAGAACCTGTCAAACATACTTCAAAGCCACATTCCCGGTTCCTTTCCAATTAAAGATTAACGCTTTGTTTTCATCTACTATTTCATTCCCAGCTGACTCAATTGAATTCCACTGTGTTTTTGCTTCGTCCGGGTCACAGCAATCACCCATTAAGGCCTTAAAAGCAAGTGAGCCGGGACAATGAAAGACAGACAGAGTGTGAGAAAAGGAGGGAGGAGAGGGAAGAACCGTGTTTATCAAACACGGAGTGGGTAGCCAGTCACATCTGTCCTTGTAGGGTATGTGAAGGAGAGAGAGGGAGAGGGAGGTGCTCCGGGGCATTCCTTGTTTTTCTCTCGGCAGGCCGTGCCCACTGAGATTTATCTGGGAAATGTTTCCTAAATCACACCTGTCTGTCTTCATGCACAATGATTGCTGTCCAGTTATGGGATCAAGGAGCTGGTTAATTAGGGTTGGGAGGAGGCTCCACAAGGCTTCGGGGTGAATTTAAGGTGTTAGAATGAGACCGTCTCCATCAGTTAGACCCTTGTTGAGACCCTGAAACTTGGGGTCAGGCACAAACTAAGATACCGCAGCACAGGAACAGGACAAAGATTCTGCAGGAGATGAGGTTCAAACTTGTCTGAGCTGAGTGCTGTTACAACTTTACCATAACGGCATGCAGGTAACTACTTTGCGTGCTAACATGTGTATGGTATTACTAAACATGATGGGTTTTAAATTATGCTAAAAGAAATATATGCAGTTGAAGAATTTGCATTGCAAAATCTTCCTTTTTTCCGGTTTATGGACCTCCCAGGAGCTTTCATTGTTTTCAACAGCAACCCACGAGCACAGTATGGATTGTAGACTATCACCAATCATTAGTTTAGTCTTTTATTGTTCCTTTCCTGCTGACTACATGCTAGCACCATTAAGCAGCGATTTACATATATGGCTATTCAAACAACATCATCATGATGAACCACGAGGATATGACAATAAGTAAGTTTTCGCTCTTGTCGTCACTCAGCTGATTTTTCACCTGCTTTGGCCGGATCTGCTCTCCCATACAGACACTGAGCTGAGCGACTTGGCTAATGAGATTGTAAAAACATCAGCCGACACTGTTGGTTAGCGTCAACCAGGGGGAACGCGGCTTGGTTACCTCAGACTGATCCGGAGACCACCTGTTCTCTGACTTTCCCTGGTTTAGTTGAAGTTGAAGGTGGTGCGAGGGGTCAGGGGAGAATTCATATTGAAGTACCCTTTTTCAAATGAGTGTAAATGGTCATTAGAAGAAGAAGAGTGTGCAGACATCAGTTTTATAAGTTCTTCCTGTTTAGTGTTGCTGATTGTTGTTTATTGACCACAGTGGTTCCTGTCTGGGACTCTGATCTGTTTGGGTGGTCTGGGCTTCTCCTCTGTGGTCTAACTTCAGCACTCTCAACATCTCCTGTTCCTTTAGTGGTATTTTCTTTTTTTATACATCCAATTAAACATGTAGTTCTTACAGCGAATTATCTATAAATTTCAATCCATTTGAGAGTTAACAGAGAGAAACATTTTAGGTAAAATAAGCAATGGAAATACAAATGTCAGCAAAAGAGACAGAGCTGCTCCTTGTTATTTATTACGAAAGCATAAAGTTAATGGAGAAGTCAAGATGCTCGTAGTGTTGCAGTGAAGTGATGAGAGTCCATTACAGACAGGTGGAGGCCTGCAGCTGATTAATGATGTTTCCTGCTCCGAGTTAACGCAGCTGTTGCCGCTCATCTCGGCTGTCCGTCCGTTCCGACCACGGTGCTCGGCCTTGAAAACAAATGTAAATAATGCCTTAGCTTTATTCCCAGGGTGATGACAGGCCAGTCTCACCGGTCAGGTGCTGCTGCGGGAACATGGACACACAGGTCCACAGTCAATGAAAGATTGTCTCACTGTTAGACAGAGGGAGAAGGACCCCGTTGTTAACATACTGCTGATCCGTGACACATGCTGGTTACACAACCAGCTCACATGTGTCACAGATTTAAGCCGGCTCTGCAGACCTCGGTGAAAACTGGGGAGAAAAAGATGTGAGGGAATTACATGTCTGGATGAAGTTCTATTGCCCGCTTCGATTTAAATTTGTTTCCCTCATTGCCGTGTTGGTTCTGATTGAAATCTCTGCATTGCTTTGTTTTTGAGCTCTGTTGGAAGCAAACAAAGGGTTCACAATAGCTAGAGATGCAGTCACATCCTACTGCAAACACAGACCTATATATATGCAGAACATTGTAGTCTCTACTCCACTTTGCTTTGGGTAGGTGCTTTGATGCATGGTAAGACCAGAGCCATGTCCTTCTTGGGTTTTGACCCATTTTCCCTGCTGCCAGTCACATTTCTCGCCACTCTCCCTCGAGGCCAGATTATTCCTGGGAACTGTTTTGTTTACCTGTAAATCCCAGGAGAGACCGCTGTTGCCATTTGACTCATTGTTCTCGTTTGCACTTTTTAAAATCAGTTAAATGCTTGTGATGTAATGGCACGTCCTCAAAAATTACAGGTTTATTACATGTTGCATCAGACTTCCTGCAACGATACAGTATGTACAGTACCAATGGATTTCTCTGCATGGTCTGCAGTATGCCTATAAATCGTCTGTAGGCATTTAAAAGATGTGCTTTAGCATCTTACACTATGAACAACGTACACACACAGACTTCTTTCAGCGCTCTTGGAAAGCTCTTAATTTATCACAAAAGCACTTGAAGCTTCCACGTGAGCAGCAGCTGGGCCCCTGCTGCTTTGTCAGTAAGACTAACTCGGAATCTTGTAAGCGCTATAATGTCCTTCCCAACATCCTTGCCCAGAGGCGTGGAGAACTGGCCCCCAGCTCACTCTCACTGGTCAGCCAGTCTGCTGTGTCATGACTCTAAACTAGACTTTGTCCTTCATGGACTGATCTTCCCCCTGGAGGTCTGCCTTAGATCAAAGTCATGCAACACAATTTACCTGACTTGTCACAACGCATTTTGCGCGTTGCCTATTTTCCGAATGCAATTTTATGAGGAGTGAACCACTAACGTGTAACTCCACTCAGCCCAGGCCTAGAACCTCACCTCGCCTGTCAATCGAGGTGTGAAGGACAACGGCTCTAAATAACAGCAAAGTTGAAAGAGGGAGGGGTGAGTTTTCTGAATTGTTGCCACTACCATTCCCCCTCTAGCCTCCACCAGTGCCCCAGGACTCACTGGCTCAGTGGAATAACGGCAGGGCAGGAGATAAATAGACATGTCCATGGCACCTGAAATTAAGAGGTGGGGCTTCTGCTGCCTGGGAAACGGGATTCCTTTCATGCTCATTCGCTGTCAGGGTGTTGGCCGGTAAAGAGGGGAGATTTGCTCGGCCTATAAAGAAAGTGCATTGTTTTGAAAGGTCTGTAGACAGACGGATAGATCGGACACTTTCTACCCTCACATCTGTGGCCACAACCTTTTGAAGTCTCTGATTTTACACCCCAACATACGTTTTTGGGACACAAGAAGATTCAAACTAACACACTGTGACACTGTGCAGCTGGTCTGGCCATGCCTGGAGTGAACCTGGACTTCCTCCCAGCCTCACAGGCTCCGGAGGCTTTGGGCAGTCCAGATAGCGTTTGTGCCGAGTCTGGCCTGGAGGAGGTGATAGGGGATCTGCTTGCTCAGGAGGATGCAGAAGATGAAGAGGGGCAGTTTTGCAAGAGGAAATTTGAATTAACATTACAGTGTGCTGTGGGGGAGGTCCATTGCGACCTGCAGGCCTTTGGGAAGCGAGTGGATGCCCGTCTGGAGGAGGCCGGAGCTCAGGTGGCTCCTCTGGCGGAGGCTGTTGCCAGGCTGCAGGAGGAGAACCTGAGGCTGAGGATTCAGCAAGAAAGGCTGATGAGGCAAGTGGAGGCCCTGTGCCAGGTAATGGGGCTACCTGATGCCTTGCTGCATGTACTGCCTGGCAATGAAAGCTCACCTACAACTCCATGCGAAAACAAAACACCATCCAGTGATTTTCCAACATCATGCGGTGATCCTCCAGCCAGTACTTCATCCTCCAGTCCCCAAGATTCTCCATCCAGTGCACCCCAGGAATCTCCAGCTAATACTCTTCTGGATACTCCACCGAGCGTGCCACAGGAACCTCTGTCATGCCCCCCGGACTCAGACTCTGCATCTACTGAGACAAGCACACCTCAGAATTCGGAGCCTTCACCTGTCCCCCACCCCCCGACCTTTGCAACCCGCCGCTCCCTCTCTGCCCCCTCTGTGATGGCAAACATTTCTTGCGACAACAGCACGGTACTGCTCTCTGTAAATGGTTCTGATCATGCCCCCTTTTTTAATTCAGATAAGCTGCGTGAAGAATGAGAATGTCTTTTGTTCCAATGTTGACGGTACATGTGGATCAGCAGGCCACGAGTACTTTTAGGTGCCATGCCTGCTCACGTACTTGTTGACCTGCTGTTCCATCTCTCTTAGCTCTCCATTGGTTTTAATCGTAAGTTAGGTCCTCACTTCCTTTTGCAAAAAATCATGACCATCTCAGCTGTCAGTCAGTTGTGACAGATTGTTTATGTGGACTTCACTGTCATGGAGTTATTCCAATCCTCCAACATCATTTGTCTCTGATCCTGGCTAGCACTCATGAGTGTTTGTATGCAAGCACTTTGTGATGGAGGAAACAAATGACCACGTTTCAACAGTAACAGTGGATCTGCCCTGTAGTTTGCCTGGATAACCCTAATTTTTAGCCTTGCCTAACGTACTCCCATAAAAATCCCTTAACAATCCCTGTGTGTGTTTGCGGCATTATCTTCTGTTATACAACCGACCAGTGTTCATATTCCTGTCTAATCCTGCAAAGACAGATGGACCTGCCGGTCAACCAGTGAAGATGATGGACTCCTAAATGTTACTCGGGATGATTGGGACAGTGAGGGGTGAACTTATCTGTTTTTCTTGTGCATTTGTGCGATATCCACTAGTTCAGCTTTTCATAATTCAGCTGGCTAAGACTGTATTGCAGGTCTTAGTGATGAATCAAAAAGTCATTTTTTTACAGAAAGATTGTAGCCGTTCTCCCATTAGAGAAACCAAAAGAAAAAGAGCATTTGTATGCTACAGTGATCAGATGTTGAAAAGTATCCTGTAACTGAATTAAACTAGCACAAAGGTTATCGGGGATTTTCTCACCCCACTCACATTCCCTCATTGCCTGAATCAGAGCCCTTGTTTGGGATGTGTTTGTGTCCCAAAACATTCCTCGTCGGTCAAGTGCCTCTCAGTCCAGTCTGTCCCATGTCCAGAAAAGTCTTCTAAACCAGTGTCCACCGGTGGTCACACAGCGCTGTGGCTGCACTGGGCCTTGTCCCTCCCTGGTGAGAGCTGGTCCTGCTGGGGCCCGCAGGGAGGAGGGCCGGGCGGCCGTGGATAGGGACGGGGCCAGCTGTCTGAGCTATATCTGGACCTGGACTCGGTTACAACAAAAGCACTGAAGCCACAGCTAAAGCTCATAGTTTACCACAGGCATTCAGCACCACATGGGAGTAAAATAGTTTTTCTTCTGTAAGATTTATGGCCACTTCATATATTCTGGTAGATACTCAGGTTGTTGACGTAAACCTATCACGTCATGATTGTTCTCTTGGTGCTCTATTTCCTCTCCAGCATGCTCCCTCACTCCTTCTGTGGTGTACATACCATTTCTTCAGAGTTTATATCTGCTAATGCATTGTTCAAATCCTCGAGCCATAATGGTGTACTGTACCTATCGCATAAACTCTTGCTTCACAGCAGTTCAGTATCATTTGGACACTCGGTGTGTCAGTCACACTCCATGAACCACGTTAACAGTAACTTGGCAGGGTTGCGCTCGCTCTCATGTGCTTACTGTCGCCCTCACTGGTATGGCTGGAAGGCGGAGGGGATGGAAGAAATGATGAGATGTGGTGAGCTGGCAGTCTTGTTACTAAAAGAGATTATCAGAGGGAGCCTTCTTTACACTCTCAGGCCTATTATGGCTGCAGTGTGTTTAACCAAAATCCTCTTGGGCTTATTACGTCCTGAATGATAGCTAGCTTCAGTTTAATGTTTTTTTTAAAAACATAAAGTGTACAACATCAAACCCTGACCTCCAGGTTAGGGGATTTTTCCTGCAGGAGCTCTCAGATGGCAAAACACATATCCAGCGATGTGTTTTTCTTCTTTTTTTAAATGAATATAGACAACAAATCCAATGAATTTAAACGTTCATCATGTTGCATGTCTGTATGTATGTGCTGTTGCTCACCTGTGTATGTTTGCGTCATGTGCAGGTGGAGACGGAGCCCGTCGTGGCCTCTGAGCCGGTGTTTTCAGCCGGACCGTCCGCGCAGGTGGCGTGTCACATCCCGATTATCTCCAACGGCTCCAGCACTCAGGCCAAACCCGACGAGCGCGCCGGAAAACTGACTGCAGAACAGCTGGCTGCTATCGAGGACGAAGAGCTCCTTGACAAAATGGTACTTAACACCCAAGTTATAATTCTGGATGATTTAGAGTTGAAAGCACCACTTTGTAACGAATACAGCGGCGAACGTTTGTGTATAAATCACGCTAGCTATGTGAGGGTAAATTTGGAAAAGTTACAGCCCGGTGTGTATGCAGGATGCTATGTTTGAACTGCATGCATAAATAGAGCCATGCCACTTTGGCTTTTTGTGAGGAATGACTTCATTGTTTCCGTTTGTGTTTTTTTTTGGTTTTTTTTCTTCCACAGCTCGATGAGTCAAAAGACTTTGAGGAGAGGAAGATGATCCGTGCAGCCATGAGAGACCTTCGTAAGAGAAAGAGAGGTAACAGAACAAAGCAACACAATCTCTTCTCTGTTACTTCAACCACATCAACCTTTTTGCTCCAATTATTTTGTCGTGACCGTTGCTTTCTTTCAAATCACCAAAGGTTGACACACTGCCTCATTATACACAAGCCTGGTGATTTCTTTTATTTACCTACAATTTCTGTATCTATTCTGCACTCAGAGGCGATGCTGGGATGTACTCAAGAGGAACTAGGTAGGGCAGGTTGGTGTGCAGTGTGCAGTGACAATTGATCTTGCCTGCTTTTGTCTCTTTGCGTGCACCACCCTGTCGTCGTCAGACAAACAGTTGATCTCTCGGACGGCTGTGGTGGATGATGATGGTCGAAGATGTCGACAGTTTTGTTAACGTGCATGAATCCTGGTTTCACGCTCACCTCGGTGTGCTGCAATGTTGTTACTGAAACGTCTACCACATTTAGAGCATTCTCTGTTTTGCACTGAGCACTCACCAAATGGTTTTCACCGCTCGTTTTGTTACATTGAGCTGACAGTTAACCATTTCTTAATCAGTGGCATTGAGCATACAAAAGGCACAAAAAAAGATCTAAATACTTAAAACTAGATGGAGAGTTTAAGAATAAATGTATAATACACTGCATAGTATGTTTAAAAACAATCTCAGGTAAAAGCTGGAGGAAGCACTGCAGGTGGTAAGGTACCAATATTCTGGACATTGCTGAACGTGGCACAGCCGGCCAAAGGGGACGATCGGATTGTGTTTGCTCTCTTTGTGCTGTGATGTTTGTGCAGTACATATTCCCTGACAGCTTTGGCTTGGCTATCACCTCCCACCTGTGGGTGTTTGTGTGTTCAGAGGAATTTGACGGTACTGTGGAAAGATCACCGCAAATTTGGAAGCCCTGTTTTTAATCCATCTTGGTGGCAGTCAGATGAGGTGCTGTCAGTTTGTTTCGGACCTTTTGTCCTCCTCCTCCTCCTCTTTTTTCCACTGACATCATCTCTCCACCTCTCCGTCCCCTCTCTCCTCTCTCCTGTCCTCTCCGCCAACCCAGACCAGAGAGAAAAGGAGCGCGAGACCCGTCTGCAGGAGCTCCGGCAGCAGAGAGAAGAGCGAGCGCAGAAAGGCCGCGCTGGGGTCGGAGCAGGAGAGGTGGTGATGCGGAAGGTGGAGAAGTCGGCGGATGGCTCCAGCCTCAGCCAAGTCACCAAGACAGACCGCTTCGCTTCATCAGGTAGTTTTGTCTTTTCTTATCTTTTCCTGTGCATTTCTGAACCTTCTTTGAACCTTACTTGAACCTGTTTTTAACCACTCAAGTCAACAAAGAAGTGATTCTTATTTTCCATTGCAAGGCAAAAAAGGCATCTAGGGAAGTAAACAATAAAAGCATATGAAAAACAAGGTGTAAGTAAACTGACTGTCATGAAACGGATATGTCCAATATGTTTGTAATTCAAAGTGTGTGTTTGTGGATTTAGATGATGGGAGCAAATCAACACGCAGCACTGTCGTTGAGGCCAGTTATGTGCAGAAAACAGACAGTGAGTCATTCCTTTATTTTGCTCTCTGGATCTCTTACAATGCTGTGTACTTACTACAGTCATATCACCAATGTCATTCGTACGTCTGTGTGTTTGTTTTTTTAATCTCAGGAGGGACAGTCCAGTCAAAATCGTACAGCTACAGCTCTTCCACATCATCATCCTCCTCCAACACAAGCAAAAAAGTGGGCAGGTAGGTCACGAAACCCGAGTGCCGTAAACACGCTGCTTTTAAAATCCCTGCACGTTCACAGATTAACTTCGCTGTACGTGTCCCCGCCTCAGTGTGTTTGATCGCGAGGATGACACATCGTCTCGCGGCGGCAGCGGCGGGTTGGCCGCAGTGGAGCGAAGGCAGGCGGAGAAGCGAAAGGAGCTGATGAGGGCTCAGACTCTGCCGAAGACCTCTGCCATGCAGGCCCGCAAAGCCATGATAGAGAAGCTGGAGAAGGAGGGAGGCGGGTAAGGATAAACGGAGAGGTGTTACTACCAAAGAAAGAAAAAGGAGCAGGTCAAAGCATGTAAATATCAACACAAACATGACTTTTCTTTTAGCCCTGGAAATCAGGCGGTCGCCAAGGTAAACAAGGTCCAGCGTTCCACCAGCTTTGGTGTACCCAACGCAAACTCCATCAAGCAGATGCTGCTCGACTGGTGCCGTGCCAAGACCCGCTCGTACGAGGTGATCTTTAGTGTCTAAACCTAATGATTAAAACGAGATGGGCTGAGATGATATTTTCCTACTTTGGGAATGTTTCCATCACGTGTATATATCAATGCCTCCATGTCTATTCTGTTTGTCTTCTACCTCAGCATGTGGATATTCAGAATTTCTCATCCAGCTGGAGTAACGGCATGGCATTTTGTGCCCTGGTGCACAATTTTTTCCCCGAATCCTTCGACTACGACTCCATGAGCCCCAGCAACCGCAGGCAAAACTTTGAGGTGGCCTTCAGCACTGCAGAGTGAGTACACACAGAAAACCCTGTTTGTCCCAGTAACAATGCCACTAACCACTTCAGTGCTGTTATTGTTGGTACATTTTGACTGCAAGTGAGAGTGTCAACCGACTTTGTTGGAGCAACCACATCAGCTGCAGTGAACCTTCATTTTTGTTAAGCTTGTTGGAGAAAATGCAAAGAATATTAGGAGAAACCAGCAGAAGAAGCTACTTCGGGCTTACCTTTGCTCTTCAGCTTAGAGATATAGACCTAAAATCAAACAATCAAAGCAACTTTTTCCAAACCAACACACATCCCTTTCTTTGCATCATACAGATTTTTCACATCCTTCTCTCGTTTCTCTGTAAAAAAAATCCACCTGTAGTTTTCATTCAGTATTGCTCTTTGCCAACATTAGCTTGAGCCTGGAGCCTGGACCGAAAACACGTGGAAGCTCCTCGACTGATGTCCCAGTGCTAACATTCCCTGTCTCTCCCAGGTGTATCGAACCACCTCAAGGCTTCTATTTTAATTACTCCACCTCTAAACCTCCACTCTCCATCTGTCCTCTACTATGAGTAACTGCTGTGACACCCTCCATCTGCTCTAAACCAGAGACCCATGAGCAAACCCTCCCCAAACAGACACCAGGTTAAGAAAAAAAACAAACGGACGAGCTCTCCCCTTTTTACTCCTAATCTCTCTCCTCTCCCTCTCTCTTTCTCATCCCCATCACACCACTCTCACTTGTGATGCCCCCCCACCCACATGTATATGTGTGTGTGTGTGCTCACATGCTGCCAGTAGGATCGTGTCCATGCTGATGTTGATATTATTCATGCCTCCAACACTGGACTGTCACCCAACCACAGCCCCCGTCTTTTCACCTTTGTGTTGCACTATCTCTCACTTCCCCGGGCACTTCCAGCAGTTTGCTGTTATCTGGAATCCCAACACACACACTGTCACACACACTTTATCCTGTGCACCGGTATGTTTTTAGATTCACCATATGGTTGTGTCTTTTCTGTTTCTGTTGTTGTTGTTTTTTGCAGAATCCTTGTTGTTTTTTTCATCGTGTCTTATGTTTCTGACAGAACTCAGTCGTATTGAAATGGTCAAAGGTTGCACCGAAAAAAACAACAACAAACAAAAAGGCTAAATGAGCATCACCTAACGCTCATTTGACGTTTTGTTTTGTCTTATGTATGTGTGTGTGTGTGTGTTTGCCACATACTGTACGTGTCATGATGTTCATGAAGCATGTCAACTCATGGATATATTTGTGTACACAGAGAATGTAATGTTATTGTTTCTTTTTGTGTCATTTCTCTCTCCCTCTGTCTTTTCACCCTGAATCTTTTTTGTTTGGCTGCTCACGACTTTATGTTTTTCTTCCCTCCTCCTTCCTCTCTTTCCCACACTTTGTCCTCTGTCTCTGTCCTGTTCTCTCTCTCTTTCTTATCTGTATTCCCCCCCTTCTCCTCCTCTTCTTTTTTTTCTATCCGTTTGGGTCTGCCTTTCCTTCCTGTCCTCGCCCCCCCCCCCCCCCCCTGCTGGGTGCGGGCACAGGAAACTAGTGGACTGTCCCCAGCTGTTGGATGTGGACGACATGGTGAAGATGCGCGAGCCGGATTGGAAGTGTGTGTATACGTACCTGCAGGAGTTCTACAGGGGTCTGGTGACGAAGGGCCTGGTTAAAACCAAAAACTCCTCCTAGAGTCGCACCCCACCTTAAACTGAACCCATGGTGAGAGAGGGGGCAAACCTGCGAAGGAACCTCACTTTGGTTCTGAGCGATGGGATGGAGGGGGTGTGTATGAGTGTGTGTGTGTGTGAATAACTGGATGTTTTAAGCAGCTGTTAGGATTTAAATCAAACATGATGGTTCAGAAAACTCCTTTATTGGCCACTTTGGATATTTGATCCTTCATGTTAATCTGAAGCTACCGAGGTCCAAAGTACCAAACATGGTGTGCGTGTGTGTTTCAGTGTGTCCATGTGTGCATTTCTGCATAGTCAGGCTATGGCCCAGGCAGAGAGCCAGGACCATCTGCAGCTCCACACTTTAAAAGGAACTCCTGTATCACACTGTTTCAAACAGACTACTTAAGAAACAAAGCAGAGAACGGAAAGGCCGGGTTGCCCACTGACGTTTTATCAAGTGTGAATTTACTGTTGTTTGTGCTTGTAAAGCCTTTTAAAGATACTGTAATATAGTACAGGATGATCCCATGTCTACAGTTCCTTAAATAACGAAACCAAATTCATGTTGTTGACATTTATTTTCTCATCCGAGAGATTTCCCCTCGTGCTGTTCCCCTTACTCCACACTTTGTTTAATTCCAACGTCTCAGAGGGTTCACAGTACGTGTAGATATGATGCCACCCTGTGGTCGCTCCCTGCATCGCTCACATGTGAGGTCTTTGTTCCTAAAAGTGTTTATTGAAACACCCTGCACTACTGGAGTTTATATATAGAGAGCTTATAAAGGGATTGCTACACAGTGCGTGAGAGAAAACAGAGACAAAAAAGGATTAAAAAAAAAAAAAGACAAAGAAGGACCTGAGTTTGTCAGTGCTGAGGTGTGTGTGTGTGTGCGTGTGTGTTTGGTTATTGATCTTGACGAAAGCACCTGATTGATGATTAAATATGAATAATCATGAACATCAGAAGAGAATATCCTCCATCTCTGGTCCTCGACCGTCCTGTCTGTTCATCCTCTTTCTCACACGTACCGTCTGTTGTATGCTGTTCCTCAGGACCTACGCCAACTGCATGCCTTTACTGGAAGTGGAGGACATGATGATCATGGGTAATAAACCCGACTCCAAATGCGTCTTCACCTACGTGCAGTCTCTGGTCAACCACCTGCGCAGATATGAGATGTCCATGGGTCGGCCCTGTGACCTTCTGACCTGTGCCCAGTGAGTGTGATGCCAAGACGTGGCGTCACCCGGCCCCTCCCCCTTCCTTCACAGGCCCCGAAGCCCCCCCCCCAGCTCCATCTTTACCTGATGACCGCCTCCACTCTGACAGGCTGCGTCACAGAGTTGCTCATCTCTGATGGACAAGATGGGGATTGTGTGTGTGTGTGTCAGTGTGTCAGTGTGTCATTTTGCTTCTGATCTTTGTTGACAGTGGTGATGTGTATTCATTATTTCATTAACATAAAATCCACCTCTCTCCAGCACGAGAGCGCCAAAGTTTTTATAAGACTACCTATTTAAAATTTTACATTGTTTTTGTATTTAGCTTTGTACAAGGTAATATTTAACATGCAGTAGTCGTGTCACTACGCTAGTGTACTAAAAAAACACTGCAAGAGAGAAAAGAGAAATATTTTTAGAGTATTTCCCCTTTGAACTTATTTATACCTGCATTTTCCCTGCTACACGTTTGTACTTTACCGTCATTGCTGTTGGTAATTCCACAGAAGAGGAAACGTATACCCAACCAAATGCTGCAGTATTTGGTTTTCATTTCGGTACTTTTGAACTTTTACCAAATTTTGGCTGCTTGAAGTATTTGAATTAAGTTATTACTATTCTCATGTTGATGTAAAGAATTTTCATATCACTATTTAATACATGATCATAGAGATGTTCTTTCTTCATTGTTCAATTGTTTTGAATAAGCTCACCTTTCTTGCAGTCAAACACGCTCTTCATTCAGGCAGAAAGAAAACAAGAGTGGGTTGTAGCCTGACATCATATAGCTGACTTTTATCATTACGTGATGCTTCTTAGTGCTTGACTGACGGCATATGTGCAAAAGAAAAGTGTGTACAGCAGTGCTGCCATCATCCAGCAGCACCGCTGACAAGCCCTGCCCAACACACTAACACACAGCTCTTTTAGAGGCCTCTTCATTTATGCCAGTAGATTATTTTTGAAATATCATATTTTTTATTTTGTTAGTGTGTACCTTTTTGCTTTTAAAGGTTTTCTTTAAAGTGTGTGAATAAGCTCAAGATATCACCTTGTTTTGTGAAACTAATTATGGTCACTTTTTGGACAAGTTAAAGGGCCTGATGAAAGCCGGCTTTCTGTTTCTACGTGAGTAATCATGACTGAACATAACTGCCAATTGTATATTTTACAACATGAAGCTAATGAAAATTTTGAAATTGCGATTTTTATTCCGCTTGTAAGATTAAGATTCCTCTGAGAAGATGTTGAAAATCTGACGGTTTCAGAGCTGAATGAGCGGGATGAAACTTATTTCGTTAAGCTCTGTTTAAGTAGATTTAGAGAAATTATTTGAGGATTATTCCAACGCTGCCAACTGAAAAAAAACATACCTTCCACAGAGCAGTGAGTGCTGTAAATAAGAGCTTAAACACATTATAATTTCATGTTTCTGTGCACCACAGTTAAATGTGAATTGAAATTAAACCAATTTGTGAAATGAATGCGTTTGTTTTGATAATTGCTCTTAATTGTCTCATAACCCGCAAGATTATTCCTATCGAGTGTTCAACATGCTTTCATTCATACTCAATAGAACTGCCATATCTTTATCTCAACACAGCAAGGACAGGCGATGAGATGATTTTTTTTTTTAAATATTTTATTATTTTCCTCCGCTTGAACCCTCTTGTGTGCATCAGTCAAACCCACCAGAACATGTAGCATCAGCCTCAGGCCAGTCAGGCAGTTTTCAGCCTGAGGCTTCATTCAGTTTCACAGTAGGTAGGAAGCAATCAGACACACAAGGGGACCTCAAGTGAGGCAAAGACTCTGAAGACAGTTGACACACGACGGGACAAAGAACATACACACTTCCAGTCTTTGTGTCGAGAGTAGAAAAGCACTCAAAAGCAGCCCGTTGGGTTATAATTGCTGCTAAATTAAGAACAAACATCAAGAACAAAATGTGCAAATTCAGACTGTGGACCTTTCAAAGGCCTTTTGCCAATGCTGAGATAGTGCCCTTGCCCAAAGGCGAATCCATGATCTGCTGGTCTTATTTTGAAATGACAAGCATTTATGTCAACTACATTAACCAGCTGGTCATGGAGCAGCTATGGGGCTTAGTGGCACTGTGAGATTCTTACTTTTTCACCACTCTGACGGGTTATAGGTCAGTATGCTTGGCTTCTGCTTTGGGCTCCGAGGAGGCGTTGTCTGTGGCAAGGGAGGCAATTGGGGATTTGTAGGGCGGCTCGTCTTTAAACGGGCTGTCTTTGGCAGGAGAGAAGCGGAACTCCTCCGGCACCTCGGCCTCAGGGTCGGTCTTCTTGTAGAAGCCCAGCTCGCCCAGCAGCTCGTTGATCTCAGAGCGACTCATGTCAGACAGGGCGATCCGCTGTGGAGGGAAGACACGTGTTAAATTATAGCTCCAGTTTAAATGTAGTTTTCCGTCAGTAGCTGTTGATGCTGCAGTGACCTGTAACTGGACATCAGGTGCCCCAACACATGAATTCACCTTAATGTTAATGCGGTTTTGTGTCCCCTGGATGTGTTACTTAGCAACAGTTTGATAGGAAATTTGCCATAACAGCTTTAAAAGGTGAGGTCAGTCGGTTTACGGCTGGTGTAAATTCTGCCCCCAAGTGGCCAAACATAAAAGATCAATACAGCTATAAATTATACCTTTGTCTTAATTTCACTTTTGGAAAGTGAAATTAAGCAACATTTTTGAAGGAAAAAAGCTGTTTTAAATGTATGCTTAAAGCCCCTGTGTGTAGGATATTAGAATAGACTATAATAATTGGTGCAGAAAGACCCCATCCCCCCACTTCCAAAGAGAATGAATGGGCTGAAACAAACACATTGACTGATTGACATCATAATTGTCACATTATATTGTATTATAGATGCTATAATCACATTTAAAGTGTACATATAGAAGCTTTAATATATTTCCAAACAAGTACAATGCAAATATAAATACGCTGCAACACAAAGACTTACATCCAGCTCTTCATAATAGTGGTTCAGGAGGACAAGCTCAGGGTCGGCCCCAGGAATGTGCTTCATCACCAGGTTATGGCTGAGGGAGTGATGGTCAAGGATTGGCACAGAGAGAACAGACTGCACTTTTTGCAGTGTGCAATTTATAAACAGACATACAAGAACAAGTAACAGCAGTGCACGTGAGCCAAAGGATACTAAAGAGGAATGTCCTGGACCACAAAGGCTTTGACCTGCAGACAGAAGGTGGGGGGTTAATGTTTTTTCACTCAGAGATGGTTTCGGTGACGGATCTGTGGGGGATTAGTTGAAACTCTAGATGTGAAACGCAAAATGTTTCTCAGTGAGCAAACCCTTCTGTACCTGTTGATTACATGAGGGAAACTTACCTCACTGAGCCTGTTCAGCTGTCATCCTCCACAGGACTGGAAGGAGAAAGAACATCAAATTCAGGAAATGGTTAGAAGCAGCTCTCATACTTTGGAACCGAGTTCGTTTCCTTGTTCAAGTCTCTTCTCTGGTGTTCTGGTGTCATTGCAGCGTTGCTTTGAGGGGCTCAGATTCAGATGGGCTGCTGGGATGGCTGCCTCGCCCATTTTTGTAAAAAAGAATTTGAATAGCAGCATGTGTGACTAACCCAACAATAGCTTCGGTGATGGCAGGGTGGTGACTTGGTGACACCCTGGGGGAACATGGTTTCCCACAGTAAGAGGTGTTGAGTTACACTAACTTTCTGCAGGATTCAGACCTTCAGCTACACGCCCTCAGTCTGTTCTCAACTACCCTAAGTAATTGATATCATTTTAATCGTTATTACATAAAACAATGTGTTGTCTACAAAGCCCGTGTGCTTAATTGGGTTGTAACCTACACAGCTCCGCTTGTCATATTCCCCCGGTAGAATCACTCACGCATGCGCCCATTCACGGACATTTGAGTAATAAAACGCATCTAATCACACATTTAACCAAATCTAACTCAGAAGATGAACTCACAGCCTCGGCCCACCGTCACTGTAAACACATGTATTTAGCCTAACCCTCGTATGAAGAGCGGCATCATGAACGCTACCGTGTTACTGTACCTCCACTCTCGCTTTCGCCATTCCGTCCAGTTTCTTCAGATCCACATCGTGAGCCGAGGCGCAGTGAAGCAAACCGGCCAGCACGATCAGCCACATTGTTTCTCCTGGTTCGGGTCGCGGACCAGGACTCGCTCTGCTCCAGGACCAGTACCTGCAGATGTCTGTGGGTAAGTAACGCAACTCAGACGAGAGATGATGTGTAGCTATGTCACGTCCGGACCTCTTGCCACGTCAAGAGAGAGGAGAGGAGAGGGGAGGGGAGGGGAGGGGGGGGAGCACGCTCATTGGTTATCTGCGAGATCTCCATTAAAATACAGTTAATCCCATAGATTTGATATGCAGTCTATGATTAATCCTCGCAAATGTAAGAGATTACCTAAAAAAAACAACATACACAGGCTGAAATATTATCAATTTATTTTCTTTCTTTATTTTAAGACCGTGAAAGCAGAGGATGGCAGGTGGGCTGAAATTGAAGTAAAGATATTATACAAACAGCCCCTACATATAGGGGTTTATGTGGTAAACTGCTCTTGAGGGTAATGAGAGACTCGAGAGAACTCTTTACAAAGTGAATCATGTGTTCCTACATTTAGGAAGAGTTACCTGTCATGATAATAAACAACCTGTCGTGAAATGTGATATTTACATGTTAAGTGATTTTATCAATAGAAGCAGATCAATTTAACATATTTGTTTGGCCTGAGCTGAGTTGAAGTACATTTGTCAAAAAGATGATGTTTGTGTGTGTGTCTTTAACAACAATGCAATTGTTGACTGTTGCTCAGGTAAGACATTCATGATCAGATCCAGATTTATATTATGTCAATATTATGTCAAACACATAGTGGTTGAACACTTTAGCGTAATGCAACACCACAAGCTTATGAATCACCACAAAATTGAACTAATGACACAGTTTCAATAAAAACTGTATATTATAGGATTTACAGAGGCCGTGTTTAATGATGGGCTTCTGGATTGTATTATATTGAACAGTGTGGACAAGTATGTCTATTATTTTTCAGATTTTCCAAATGTTACTCCATGAGACAGAATTTTAGCCGTCATAAGTCGAAGATTTCAAAAGCATTTCAGGAAACCACAGATGTGAATTTGGTTTGATGAGTTGCAAATGAACATTAATTAGAGCAAAACTGAAGGGATATAATGAGGAAAGCAGCAAAGAATAACCATAACTACAGGTTATTACACACACACTGACCTAAATACTGCACAAAAACCTGTGATGTCTTTCAGTGTGATTCATTACAGAAGAGAAAGACACACAAGCAGCACAAATAGGCCCGTGAAAGGAAAAAAAAAGATTTCTATAACTCAAGATTTTAGTATTCAGCTTACTTCTAGTTACTGGGACAAACGATGTTCTTCTTTATTATGTACTATACTCACATATCTCCCATACATCCCTGACTGTCTTGAGATATCACAAAATAAAAAGCAAAAACCATAAACTATAGATACGGTCAATGTTACATCACTGTTGAGTAGATAAGCTATAAGTTATTTTCCATATGAGGATATATGGGTTAATGGGTACATGTGCCGTAAGCTTTCAACACATTTAGCAGTTTTTAGTTTACTTCTCATACCTCCAGTAGCTTCAGGCGACCATCTTCACCACATTTACTGTACTGCACAGCTTTTCCCAACACGCTTTGGCCTTAAAGGGCACAAAGCACACACACACACACACACACACACACACACACACACACACACACACACACATATAGTGTGTGTGTACAGTTTTTCACTCATTCATTTTATAAAGGCCACAGGCATTTAAGAGGTCATGGAGACTGATGAGGTTGCCACAGCAACATCTCATATTTGGCTCAGGGTAGATGTGTTTTGGCTTCCCAGAAGTAAACTGATGTCAGAATACAAAGGTTTTAATGTATATACTGTATATGAAAGTAGACGCAGCAATTAAATTGTTATTTAGACATTTTAATGTGTCGTAAATATAATAATATTTTGGGTTATACATAATCAGCTGTTAAACCTTTCTGATGAAGGGTGAAACAAACTAAGCTGCTGATTTACTATATTTATTATAATTAAATTAAGGTGGTGAAAAGTGCAAATGAAGGTACAACGTATGAATGAAAGTGCAGAGTATAACATATGCTCCGAATTACAAGCTGATAGTGACTCCATTACTTTGTAAAACTGTTTCAGTCTCGATACTGGTACCTGGGCTTTGGGTATCGGCCAATACCGAGTATTAATAAGCTGTATGCCTGGGATCATTCTTTTATGTGTAAGGCAACATCAGGCTTGATTTAAAGATTGCTTTCCTAAGTTTGGAAAACAAAATGTAACTATAAAAATCCATAGATATAAATGTCCTGAATTGTTATTTATTAAAATGTTATTAAATTTAGCTATTTGAGTCAGTATCGCACCGACATGCGATATCAGTATTGGTATCGGTGCATCTCTAACAAAAAGTTCCATGTGTAATGTTACAAATGTTTCACATTAAAAGCATGGAAATACATAATATGATGATAAAAACCATAATAACAATGTGGCCTTGTCTAGTAGAGGGACACTGTGTTGACATGTAGTTTACAGAAGATAAAGGCGCATTAGCATATAGAGCTCAAACAGAGTGCCTTAACAGTCAGGACGACTCTGATCTGGAACATGTTTCGAGAAAGAACTCTTTAAAAATATGGTTTTAAGAAAGTGTTGGCTTAAATCATGTCTTCATTTGATGAGGACAGGGTTCAGTGGGGGCTTAGTGAAGGCCCAAAGCAAATGATTGGGCTCTCCTGACAAACTTGTTAACAGTATAAAGCAAAGACAACCTCAAGCAACTATCCTTTATCCATGACCCAACGTGATGCTCAGGCTCTTAGATCTAAGGGGGGCATCACAACTTATATCCACCAACAAAAATACTCTCAGTCGGAGGGTTTCTGATAAAAAGCCAAAACAAAGGGACAATTTAAAGATTAAGCTAAGAAGCAGGTGCTTCTATTTAATTAGAAGCTCCTGCTCGGCATTAAGCCACGCACTTCTCCATACATACCACTAGGGTACAGTGGGGGTTCATCATAGACTTTGACTACATAGAATGGCTATTCAAATTCACACTGCATATAGCTAAAAGGCAATTTGGCATGCGCCCACACATAGGCTTCGCGGGCTGTCGGTGTTATGTAAACTAATGTCGAGTCGGTGCACGAGCAAACGGAAGCTCGCAAACGGAAGTCATGTTTGCGTAATTGCCATGATATTTCCTGTCTACATGCTGTAGTTCTTTGAGCTTCACACAGCCGGACGCTCACGGTAATCATCAACCGAAAACCGGGAGGCACGAGCTGCTCGTTTACGGAAGCGCGCACTCTCTCTCTCCCTCTCTCTCCCTCTCTCTCTCTCTCTCTCTC